CTGTACCCTATATTATTAATAATTTATTATATTATTTAAAAAATACTAAATTTAATTTAAAAATCTAGGCAAATTTGTCTAGAAAACAGTTTAAAGAATAGTATTAGAATATCTATTGTACAGTACCAAATAGCAAAAAATATCTAATTTTTTAATAGTTGTTTAATATCTAATAACTTTCTATCAAATAATTATTTTAAAAGTTCCTTTTACAGATTTATTATTTATATTCTAAACTACAAATATATAAAACAGATTTTTATTATCATGCTTTTTACAAAAGTTATAAGAAATTAAAGTTTGATAACTTTAATAATAAGACAAAAATTTGGCACAAAGAAATTAACCTATCATATTAACACTAACTACATATTAGCAATTTTATTAGTTAATACTCATATTAAAAATTAAGCAATCTATTATATATATATATTGCAAAATACTACTATATGATATACAAAACAATGCCAAATATAAATATAGTGCTTATAAACAATGCTCTGCAATTTATATTACTTATTCTTATTAAAACATGATTATAACCCTATTTTTTTCAAATATATAATAATCATATTATATATAACAACTACAATTATATACATCAACATTAAGAATAACAAGATAGCATAGTTGTTTGTAAAAGTAAATTGAGTTTAGTGAAGTTTATAAAAATTTAAATAAGCAAATATGTAAATCATTCAATTAAAATAAATAATATAAAAGACAAAACTATTACAATAATAAAAAAAGTTAGTTTTTCTTAAACAAAAAAAAATCAAGAGAAAAATCAAATCTATTTATATATATATATTATAAATATGCCTATGAGTTTAGGTAATTTATATGAATATTATATGCATATTAGTATTATTTATTAAAGGCATAAACATGCTTAATCTTAATGCATATAAAAATAAAATTGTCTTGATATAGGTTAAGGATCAGTCAAATATAAACTAGACAAGCAATTGTATATTGATTTTTTTTTTATATAGAATTTTACAACAATTTCATATAAAATTTTGAATAAATAATAGATAATGCTTTTTAACTCTAATTTTGTTTTATAATATTAATAAAAAAATTATATAATTGTTGTTGCAGACTTTGGGCCTACAATTTTTTTTTTGGTATTATAACATATTAAATAAGCTGCAATGTAAACTGTATATAAAAAGGCCAAATATATATATATATATATTGAACTTTATCTTATAAAAATATTTATAGTTTATTTTCTTTATTTTGTAATACCAAAACTGACAAGCACTAAAATATGGCAGCAAAAGTGAGCAGAGATAGCTTGTTTTGCATATGTATTATATTCTTTTGTTGACTTTAATTTAAGTAAGAAATATATTGATTCAAGTGACAATATAGATAAAAGTTCAGATAATGATTTCATAAAGATAGACAATTTTAATGATTTGAATTTAAGTATCAAACAACTTCATGTGAGTTTAGAATCTAAAAAAAAAAAACATTCTTTAGTATATATTAGAAATTCCAAATATATATAGCAAAAAAAAACAAGGCTTTCAAAAAAGTGGTTATAGAAAGTTTAAAAATTATATATTTTTTTTCTAATATGCAACTACCAATAGTAGAAAATAATAACTTTTAAAACCAGAATGATCAGATAAGAAGACTATTTAAAAAAAATTAATGTTTAATATAAGATTAATGATATTAATAAATAGAGCAATAATGAATTAAGCAACGAATTTGATAAAGAATTGAATAAAAAAAAAAATTTTGGTAGTATGATTGAATTTGTAAAAGAAATAATGAATGATAAAGTGCTCTTAACACTAAAAAGTTTTGTTATTTGGCAGTTCTTTATTGCCTTCAGTTATATTTACAAGATCAAAAAAAATAGTAGCTTCAAAAACAGTCACAAACATTGTTAATAATAGATCTTGGCTTGCGCAATGTATTAGGAAGTAGATGAACATATATATAAAAAAAATGGTAATTCAGCCAAATTTTTAAAAAAGATCTTCTTCAAAAAGTTTGCTCTATAATAAGTTAGTTTCTTTTTCTATCTGTGCTTTAAAAAATTTAAAATAGACCTTATTATAGTCAAAAATTATTTTGAACAAGAAATCTTTTTTCTTTTAAATATTGAATTTGTGCAGAGCATTTTGGTAAGAACTGTGTATTAGTGGATGCATAAGTTTAGTTTTCATTATCAATAATATCAAAAAAATATATATGCAGATAGACATGAGTGCTCTAATGTTGTTGAATATTGCCAAACATTTTTCCTAAAAGTTGTCTAGCTTAAATAATTTATATCTAAGTAGGTTAATTTAGAATGCAAAATAAGAACCTTTTCTAATCTAAATTGTAGTGAAAAGAAACATATATGAATAACATATAATAAAACTACTTTTTATATTTATAATAAACCATATTTTGTATAGAGCCTAGAAGAAGAACAGTTATTAAAAACAAAGGGTCTAGGTGCTGCTATACACATAAGTAACTTTTTATTAGAAACTATTAAACAACTTAAAGATAGTTAGGAAGAAACATGTATAATAATAATTAGTAAGTTATTAAATTTAGTAATCAATATTTAATGTTTTAAGTAAAAATAATTAATATCTTTATTGATTTTTATTTATTTTATTTATTTTAATCTTTAGGTTTTGCATACTAATTATGATAATTATTAGGATTCTAAAAAACTCCTTAAACAAAAAAAACAAATAATTAACATTTTTGAGTAAACACATCTAGGATGTGTAGGTGTATTTGCCTTCAACAATACCACATCCTATAAAGCATTTTCTGAGAATACTCTTGTGGCTTTGAAAATGAATCTTGGTCTGGGTGATTTAACTTCAAAAATGTAAGAAACTGTATGAAATATTGGTTATTAGTCAATAGTTATTAAGAATGATTACTTTATTTATAACAAAAAAAAAACTAAGGTCATATAATTAAAGTTTCTTATGAACTCTCCCTGACGATCACTCGTACCGAATTTTTTACAAATGACCAGCAAAAATTTGTTAGAAAGAAAAGGAAAGGCTTCTAGTTTAGAACGGTTTTTACAAAGGTCAACTTTTTGTTTTCCCAGGG